TTTTTAGACTTTTTCCTGCCGCCACAATTTTTCGAGCGCCTGGAGAGCCAAATACTCGCTCGTCATCAGCGACAGGAAGAACGCTTTAAAGACTATTTGATCGAACTCAGGGTGTTGATGTGCCATGCGAGGTACAGCGCGGCGGAAGAGCAACATATGAAAACGCCGCCCCTGAATATATTATAGATTGTACGTCATGACTTCACAACGTCAACACATCTGACTTAGATGGCGACGTAGTAAAAGAACATCCAAGGCCAAAAAAAAAATGTGCAAGAAGAAATCTGTGGCGAGCCATTCGAGGGCGCCTTGAGCGGGGCCAGCTGATAGTCGGCCTGCGTTCAAGCGCCGAAGCCGCTCCACGTTACACGACATCGCATGATGGCCCATAATACCGGATTCGTTTTCGATCCGCGCCAGGTATGCTACAGATGCGCGCAGGTTTGACACTTCACGAAGGAATGTCGCAACGCACAGATGCTGTTTTGTCGACGATGCGGAAGAAAAGGGAGGAGCACACAGGAGACAGAGTATGACCGCCACAATCGACACCGGACCACGCGCAGCTTCATGAGTGAAGACTGCGTGCGCCGAAAGGCGGTTCAATGAGAATCTCAGGATGTACGGTCACGAACAAGGCTGGCCGACGGGGGGATGTGACGAGAACGATGAAGGTGGTTGTGTGTTTCGCGGAGAAGGCAGTCCTGATGACGGTGCTCATCATGCCGACTATGTTGGATCATGCCATATTGGGGATTAACTTCCAGTGCGCTGTGGTGGCAACGCAACGTTGTGGCGACACAGAGCTAACGATGAGGACAGAAGAAACGTCGAAAGAGAGAAGACACTCTGGAGACGAGGAGCCGCTCTCTCGACGTACGAGCTGTGGAGGTAAGAGGAGGTTAAACCCAGAGGCGCCATGCTGGACCCCGCCATCAGAGAAGCGGAAAGCTCGGACAGACGCAGGATCGCAGAGGACGCCGGGAGGGAGACGAATGGCTCGAAGGGAAACCGGGAGCTGTCGAGGAGCCCGCATAGTGCGCTCATAGCCTTGGTCAAGAAGAAGACTGGAGAAGGGCGCATGCGCTTAGATTACCGGCAGCTTAATGCCTACTCGATACCGGACGCCTACCCTGTTCCTAGGATTAACCACATCCTAGAAAGATTGAGACCTAGGCTTTAAAGGTGGTTATTGGCAGATCTCGATGGCGGCGAACAGTAGAGAAAGTACGGCATTCACCGTTCCGGGAAGAGGCTTGTTCCAGAGGCTGGCGTTCTGGTATAGGCGGTTTGTGCTAGGCTTCGTTTCGTTAGTTCAACCAAAGACAAAGAGGATGCGCTGAAGAAACTAAAAGAAAGTTTGAGGACGGCACCAGTCTTGGCATGCCTTGACTTCCCGGAGAAATTTGTGCTGCATTTTGACGCCAGAGATTACGGTTTGGGTGCGGTGTTGACCCAGGAAATCGAGGGACAAGAACGAGTCATAAACTACGTCAGCCGAAGATTGATAAGGGCGGATATGAACTATTCGGCCACGGAGAAAAAGTGCCTCGCGATAGAGAGAACTCCATAGAGAATTAGAGCTGTTAACAAGCGGTGGACCTCTGCCCCCACGTAAATGGATAACGAGGACGCGCGAGAACATCGCCAGGGAACAAGAGAAGTTCAGGGAGGAAAATGGGCAGTTATATCGGAACTTGGGGCATCGGACGGACGACGAGGATTGCATCCCCTGGATGCTATGAGTCCCCGATAGCCAAAGGAGCCGAGTATTACAGGAGTGCCACGATGCCTTCACGGCGGGATACCGAGGAGAAAGGAAAAGACGGTGACCAGATTAGCCCAAAGATACTATTGGCCAAGCATGTTCGGGGATGCCGCCAAGTACGTGAAGCACTGCGAAATATGCTAAAAATTCAAGGGTGAGCAACGAAGGCCGTCCGGGCGAATGCTCATGAGGCAAGTATTGGAGCTGATGGCAGTATTGTACGCTGACATCGTAGGCCCCTTGCCGCGGTCGAAGCGAGGGAACACGATGCCCTTGGTGGAGTTGGTGACAAGGGTATGCAGTTTACGAGTAAGAGTTTCCGGTCATTCATGGGATCCTTAGGAGTGGAGCTCCAATCGCGACCAGAAAATCCTACGGAAAGGATGAATCACAATGCCAAAACGATGATATCGCAATATGTCAGGGGTCACCAAAGCTCATGGAACAAGTTGTTGCCCGAAATAACGATAGCTATCAATTCCAGCGCGGTGGACTCCATGAGCTTCAGCCCCCCATTCCTGCTGCTGGAGCGAGAGCCGAGCTTGCTGGCTGCCCTGTACGACGAAGTTACGCCCGGATAAGTGACGAAGAAATTTCGTCGGACGCTGCAGTCGCCCAACGCAGCGGACGGTTTCACGATACTAACATTGTTAGTTTGAATACCATTGTTCTATGAAACGTGTTACTTAATACTTAGGCTTACAGATAGATAACGAAATGAAAAACGAGACCATCGGGAACAGCAGCGAATGGGATTGAGACAGCCTGAGTCGAATATGTGGGCTATACCGACACTGATCTAATTCCCTGTACCTGACAACAAGATCCCGAGAGTTGACTTGGCGGGTGTGGTGAAAATAAAAAGGTTCAGTGCTACTTTGTTGAATGCTCTTTATTGAATGAATGAATTATATGAATCAAAAAATTTCTTAAGCTAAAACTACATAGATTTTTTATTATATATCTCTGTTGGTGAAGGCAGCAGAGAGAGAGAGAGAGAGCGCAATATGTATTTATGCATATGAGGCATACTACAGTGGCGGAAAAGTGGCTAACCGACCGCCGTGGCGGTAATAGAGAATGCGGATGCGTCCGTTCGCTGGGAGGACAAACCCCCAGCTTTTGTGTTAGTGCGTAGAGTAGCGTCGAGCCCCCCCTCTCCCTCAAATCATCCAACTCAGTAACGCACAAAAATTGAAATTTGTTCGCGACGATCCCAGCTCTTTTCTTTTGAGTGAAAGGTATACCGAGCGTTTGCCACGCTCATTAAAAATTTAGCGTTTTGATTATTTCTAGGAAGGTATGAAATGCGCTGAGACGCATAAACAATATATGTTTTCCCTCGTTAAATGTATGAGCATTTGTGAGCTTGAGTACGCCACTTTTGCTGCCTGTGCAGATTCTAAGGCCCAACATTTTTTTTGCTCGAGCCTCAAGAAACTGAGCCGAGCAAATACTTTAGGAGATTCAAACCTCCATGGGCGTCCACCAAAATCATTTGGGAGGAGGAGTATCTTGGGAGGCCAGCCCGAATATATGTACCAAATTTAAGGTCTCTAGCATCAATAGTGTCAAAAATTTAGCAGAATTTGAAAAATAACTAAATCTTCAGGTCCGATTTACCACGCCCTTAAAAGGCGTAGAAATATCATTTTTTATCAATCTTTATATACACGTGCAAAATTTTCATGACTATTTTGTAGTAAAAAAAAAATTATTTATTATCGACAACAAATATTCATACATTTATTTGTTATGATTGTTTATTTTGTAACTATTAAGAGTTTGACTATTTGTATACAGATCTTTGTATTAACACTCCAACAGCTGGCCTTTGACGATTCCATATATTTTAAAAACCTTTTAAATGTTCGTTTCTAAACGCTGATAATTGTTTAGAACACAAACATTAATATGTGCTTTTAGCACTCTAGATCTAAAAAATGATGTAGGCTTTATTCTTTCATTATATAAATATCTCTTATTCGAGGATAATTATTTAGAATAAGACATCGGACATTAGTTACAAAAATTGCATGTAGACAGAAATTTTATACATTGCAAAAGACTTTATGTATTTTCACAAAATATACATTATATTCAATATACAGTTTTCTTTTAGGTTCTTGGTCTCTAGCCTGAACAAATTATTGACTTGTATAGTTTTATTATAGTTCATTTACATCGTTATTTATTGAATTATTAATCCTCTTCGGCTTTGGAACAGGGTTCCAATCCAAATTTGATGCTGTCGGCGAGGATTCTCTACATTGGAACACAATTTTATCAACTTTATTTTTATGAAACTCTTGTTTCAAATCTAAATGATTCTCAAATGAACTATTTGAAGCCGCAATGCTTTTTTTTACTTCATTTTTATTATGATTATTGTTTGATGTCATACTATTTGTAGAATACAAATCAGTTGAATATTTGACTGTACCTTTTGCTGCGCTTTCTTTGAGTAGTCGCTGGCTACGATTTATTGAATCAATTATCTCTTTCACGGATTTAACTTTGGCAGATTTAACTGCACCCTGTAAATCAATGTTTCTTTCGGATTTTTCAAAAATAGTTAACGGATTGGTTAAGTATTCAGAATTCTGAGAATTGTTATTTTTATATATTTTATTATCCAAAGAAATATAACTAATTGGATTTATCGTTGGTAATGAATGTTTGGCCATTTTTAATTTAACCTCCTTATTGATAATTTCATAGCTTTCAAAATGATTGTTATCAGGTCTTAAAAGGTTATCATCTCTAGTTTGTTCCCTAGTCGGTTCAATTAATTTTAAGGAATTTTCATTCGCATCGAAAAGGATGGGAGTAGATAAAGTATTCCTTGATGTAGAGGCTTGATCAGAAACATCTACGTTTGAAGTCTCGTTACTGGCCGCTATATATTCTTTCGTATTTCCATTTTTTGTATCTAAGATATTCTCCTGAGTACTTATATTATAGTTGGGTGTTTCTTTATCTTCTTCAATAGTTAGCACATTTTTTGACATACCTTCTTTTGAGCTATAGTCATCCGCGTCTAAAATATGTTCAACAGTCAAATGATTTTTATTTGATAAAAAGTTTTCATCAGGGCTACCTTGTCTTACAGCTGAATTAAGTTCTTCAGAATGTATATTAGAATTAGGGCTTTTAATTTGTAATAAGTTATAATCGATTGGCGAATCATTTTCTTTGGATTTATTACTTTCATTCAAAATCTCTGCTTTTCCATCTAAAAACTGTTCTTGACTAGAAATGTTTGAATTTTTAAATAAGCTAGATCTTACAGATAAATTTCTTCTTTTTGGTGCAGTAATTGTTTTAGTATTCCCTTCGCTCGCAATGCCATGTTTTTGAGGCACAGTTCTATTGATATTTTCGTTAATTAATAAACTTTTTTCTACTGGTATGGAAGGCCGGTTTTCGAGATCCTTGGTTCCTTCAAGTATTGGTAATTGATTATTTGAAGTTTCATTACTATGATTTACAAATCTTTCTATTGCACTTGCAAGTGATTTAATATCTTCAATATTGTGAACTGAGTCGATTGGCTTTTCTTCTACGGTATTTGTTTGTTGCTCTGTGATCTGAAAACAATTTAAGAGCCATTATTTTTGTGAAATATATTATATAAATATATACAATTTTACCATAGTTTTAGTTGGAGCTGATGGAGCTTTCCTTTTTTTCCGATATGTTTTAGTGCGTAGATTGAGTGGAGAACCGTTAATATTATTAATATCTGATTCAATTTCGCTTTCAAATGGATTTGTGCTTGATAGACTAGAATATGAAGATCTAAAAAAAAAAAAAATGTAATAAAGTTTTCTAACAGGAGCTATTAAAGTAATTTAGAAGTAAAATTCATTTCTTTCGCCAACAGAGTTATATTTAAAGAGAATTTTAAGTATTACCTTATCGTTTCACATTTTTGAGGCTGTGGCAGTGAACATCGATTAAAATACGCATTACCGTGGTAATTTGGGCTGCCGTTTATGTAGCTCATTGTTATCTATAAAAAAAATTATATTATATTTTTTTATTTTGATATTCAATGCAATCAATTATTTTAATGATCATCACTATAGTAACATACAAAATTTGAGCCATATAATTACAATATTGAAGCATATAATATTTGTATACCCTGAACGCATTAAAAATGGGAAATCAGGGTATAATGGTTTACTTAAAATGTATGTTGCAGGCACAAGGAGGCGTGCCAGACCCCACAAATTGTATATTCTCAGGGCAACGAGCTGAGTCGCTTCGCTCAGTCCGTTGGCATGTATGAACGCGTCAATCTCAGAAGATACATGTAAGAGCTAGAGACTTCAAATTAAAAAAAAAAAAGTATATATATATTTATATAAAATGTATATAGCGCGATTATATTTTATTATATTTCGGATACCGCCTCCAAATTCACCAAACTGCCAGTGAAGGTCAGATGCTGATTGTAAATGCTTGGGGATTTAAAAAAAAATCAGGGACCGCAAATAAGAGTTATGAAAAACTATTATTTGCAATTTTTTGAAAAAAAAAAAATAATTTTTGATTATTATAAAGGATTTTTATGATAAAAATCAAAAATAATAATTACAGAACAATTTTTATATAAAAA